TCGATCTATAATTTCGCCGCCAAGAGTCTTTGTATTAATGTCTAGGGATCCATCCCAAAATGATCTTGGATTTCTACAACACGAGAACACCTTTGCCCCTTCGTACCGACTTCTCTCCCCGAATGGTACATTTAGACCAGAGGCCGCCCCGGTGGAAAGCCAGTGCTTGGGATGGTGGAGTATGTGGCCTAGGACTGCCCCTCGCCTCTCAGAGAGTTTAAGACGAACACTCGTCTCGATGGCGGCAAAATCAAAAATGAGGCTTCAGAACTCAATAGCACACAGCACAGAACTCCTCAACGATGGTCATCTGCTCGACAGCAGAAGGCAGATCCTTCGACAAGAGTGTCGAGTCATCCGCAAAAAAGATGCTAGTCATGGTGTCTCCGTGTGGTAGGGAGATTCCGAGATGAGGGTGCTGGCGTAGCATGTCTCCCAGCGGCTCCAGGTATAGCACGAAGAGCAGGCATGACAGTGGGCAGCCTTGTTTCACACCCCGGGTTGGACGGATGGCTGGACCCAGTGTGCCATTGAAGAGGAGGTGAGCCACTGGTGAATTGTAGAGCAGTCGGACCCAGGAGATGAATGTTGCACCCATGTTCATCTCCGCAAGCACTTCAAACAGGAAGGTTTGGTCGACCATGTCATATGCCTTCGAAAAATCGAGGAACGTAGCATAGTTGTCTTGGTCCTCCAACGTGCAGTAGTGTTGGAGGGCTTGGACCATGGTGACGTGATCATGGAGTCTGCGTCCGGGCACAAAGCCAGCTTGGGTTGGGTGGATAAGCTGGGGTGCATGACGAGCGAGACGGAAGGCCAGGGCACGAGACAACACTTTCACCTCCACTGGCATAAGGGAGATGGGCCGGTAGTTGCCAGGCAGGCCTCTATCACCACTCTTGTACAGCAGGGTGATGGCGCTGCGACGCTGGTGAGGAAGGAGGCAGCCATGGTGGGCGAGTTGGTAGCTGAACACCAACAACAACAGCTGCGAGAAGATCTCTGGGGCCACCTGAAAGAACCCTGCCGACCAGCCATCTGGACCGGGGGACTTGGATGGATTCATCGTCTTCATCGCGTCACACAGCTCGAGCGCTGTAATGGGCTGGTCGAGACTCTCACGGTCCACCAGTGTGAGCCGTTTCGTCAGGACCTCCAAAACTGCACGGCGGCGATGGTGGTCAGGCGGGTCGGCTTCCCTGGGTGTCGCCATGATGGATCGCCAGTGGGCTGTAAATGCACGTTGGACTGTGGGCACGTCTGTGGTCGTCGTGCCATCCACTGTGACGCAGTTGATGGGCACCTTGGTTCCCAGTGGCTTCCGAAAGAAGTGAGAGGTGCCTCGTTCATTGGAGTTGGCGTGGAAGTCGAATTGCCGGTCGCGAGCATATTGACTGTGCTCCGCCTTGGCAGAGTCGTAGGCTAGCTGGGCTGCAGCTACATCGGCAACGTGGGTGGCCTGGTCACCATAGTATGCCAAGGATCGCTTTGCTGTCGCCAGTCGGAGGCGTAGGTGTTGTAGATTGGCCTTGGTCGATTGGGTGTGTAGCCGATGACATTTGATGAGCTGGCGGCGCATTCTCTTCAGCCAGCCATACCACATCGCACCATGGTTGAGACTCTCGTCGGCTCGCATTCGGTTAAGGAGTGCTGAGGCCTCCGTGGTGATGGCTCGTTGGATGTCGGGGTCAGCTAGCAACTCCCGTGGTAGCCTCCAGTAGCCCTTTGTTGTGGTGGATGGGCTCTGCGACAGAGTCGCGGTGTGGGTGAGGTGGTCGCCTCCAAAGTGGTTTGGGTCATAAGTAGCCTTGGGGTTGAGGTAAGAGACTAGCTCGTCGTGTAGGAAGAGATAATCAAGTCGATTGACACGTCCAGGACCACTGTAGAGCCGTGTA